CAGATTTGTTCATTTTGTAATGATATCTTTAATTCTCTAATTTTGGTGAATATTTTTGTCATTTTTGGTAAAAAGTGATATTTTCTTCTTGTTAAAAACCACAATCATTTATGGTGAAAAATGATATTTTTGAATTCTTGTTGAAAACAGCAAGTCCCATTGCATTGATACTATCCATATTGTTCATTTTCTAATGATATCTTCTGTTCTTTAATTGAAATGTGCATCACTAACAGCGGAGCTATCTCAGTCGAGAGGCTGCTTGTCATAACAATAAGGTACATCATTAGATGCAGGAGGTAAAAGTAGGGTACTTCATTTTTGTAAGTCACTATGATATAATATTTAAATAATAACACATGCTTGTGAGGGCAATATCACGATTTGTTGCCTGCCCAAGGGATGGTGGTCATGACCATAATATTGATGATGCCAGAGACGAAGGCAAGGGCATCGTCAATATCATGGTCATGACCAACAGCCAACAGCCTGAGGGCAGAAAACATACCGAATAACCATATGTTATTTATTTGATCACTCTCCAGATAAAAATGTCTGGGTGCCATGGAAGTGACTGGAATTACTTTCTCACTAAAGTACCACACTTACTATTCACAAGCAACATGGCTTTCACACAGTTTTCTGTTAGCATCAGCATGGAGCACATAGAAATGCTCACAGCAACCCTGGCAACGTTTCAGTGTATAGTGACCACACCAGTGTACAGTCAAAATAAGTTTGATAACAAGTTCAAATTGACCATCTGCAAAATTTAGTAGCCAATACAAACACACTGGTCACCAGAATTTACTGTTTTACAAATGCCTAATAAATTACTGTGAAATACTTTATTTTAGCTGGAATTAATTTTCGCTAAAAAACTTTATGGGTGTTTTGTATGGAATTTATTTTCACTGATTTTTTATGTGAGACATAGAAAAAAAAGTATATTTGCTGGATTTTATTTTTACTGAAGCATCCCTTCAGCAAAAATAAATTCTAAGCGGAAATAAAGTATTCTATAGTACACTGAAAATCAACTCAATGAAATCTAATAACATACAATTTTGTAAGCACTTTGTGACTACCTTAACTCAGATTCATCAATATGCACACCTTTCCCATGGGCTGCATTTTGTGATGTCTCTTTATCACATTAATTCATTTGGTTATTTTTAGCTCTGCTGCTGATCATATGAGTGATTGTCCATTGTCTGTGTCAACTTTTTACTTTTTCGACTTCTCCTTGAAAACTACAATTCTTATTGCTTTGATAATTGGGCAGACCTCTCTTAGATTTGTTCATTTTGTATCTTTGATATCTTTAATTCTCTAATTTTGATAAATATTTTTGTAATTTTTTGTAAAAAGTGATATTTTTGACTTTTTGTTGAAATCCACAAGTCTGATTGCTTTGATGTTATACATGTAGGTACCTCAGATAGACCTCTCTCAGATTTGTTCATTTTCTAATGATATCTTCAATTCTTTAATTGAAACATGCATTGCTAACAGCAGAGATATCTCAGCCAAGAGGCTGCTTGTTTATACCTATACTAGACTTTCTTGTAAACCGAGAACACATATATTCATCTACATGGATGAGTCGTGTGTTATTCCTGTTTCCGAAATGATTAATCACACTCCACAAACTTATCATTGTCATGCAGAATTTGGATCAATCCAGATACCGGTCCGAATACAAATCCGGATACATTGTGCATGTTTATGGATAGGCGGTGATTTTCTACAACATTTCTCATAAATCATAACCATTTCTGTTTCTGAGGATAACTCAAAACCTGTGTGATGTATGCAGTCACCAACTATCTTCGATTGTCTTCATGGATATAGTGGTTCTATCCTCCAATCATGCCGTGCAATACTTAGTACCTGTAAAGTTATTTTAGATATGTTCTGTGTTCCATAAATCACAGTGCTGGCCGGACGCTATGTTATGTTATGGAGTGTTAAACGTGCTGTGTATACTGCTAAGCAGACAAAGGAACAAATAAACAGGAAGCCTTGAACTGATAGTAAATGTACAATACTACATTAGGGTGTGGATACCCTGCAGTGATTTGTCATAGGAAACTCTAAATACCGGTAGTCACGCTCCGAGCATAACTCAACATCTAGATAAGCTGACTTAAAAAAAGTATATCTTACTTTCTTGACTACCATATACATACTGAATTGAATAATCTACTACAATATTCTCATAATATTGGTCAATTCTTTATTGAATAAGTTGAAATTATTGATGCTCATTTTAAAACTTATAGAAG